ATTGACCACTTGCTGTGCAACAGAAGCTATAATATTTTACAGATGTTACTGCTGTGTAATCTTGAACCCTCTCTATAAATAGCTGCATCTCCCTTTGGACGATAAGGAAGCTGCACAGGAAGACTGGAGGGAGGTGCTCAGAAAACATGCAGTGGGTGAGAGATCCCTGCGTTTTCATACCACACTGGGCTGAATCTGTGAAATGACATTTGGATGGATTAAAACATGGAGGATTTTTTTTCAGTAATGAGTAGGATCTAGACATCAGAATCCTGTGCCGTCAGCAAAAAAGCATAAGAAATAATCTCTCCCTTCAAAGAAGTTATAATCTAGTTGAAGAAGTAAGACAAAAGCACATGGGGTGGTCGTATCTCGTGGGGTTTGTCTCATGTTTATGCTGCTGAGGGTCAAACCCAGAGGGCCTGGAGCAAGGTAGGCAAGCGTGCTGCCACTGACCTGTCTCCTAGCCCAGCGAGCAGTGTTTTCAAGCGTGGATTTGGAGTTAGACAGCTGTGGGTTAGCACCCTGGCTCTTTTACTGCTTAATCTTTTACTATTTAAATATGAGCTGGGCTCCTTTCCTGCCTCCGAGGGTTGTTACAGAGATTAGCTGTGCATTAAGTCACTTAGCCAGGGTCTGGCACATAGCAAGCACTCAGTAAATGGGAGCTGCCGTTATTGGAACAAGACCCAACAGCACAAGTGCGGAGTTAATGATTAGCCAGCCCAGGACGCAGGCGGCCGAGGAAGGAAAGCTGATTGTCAGAGCGCGACTCCATGGTAGGGCTACAGACCCAGACAAGGAGACCTTGTGTTCATGAGATCGCCAGCAGGGTCTCGTATAAGGATGAAGAGCACTGGCTCTGCGAAACAATGCCAGTGTCCGCCTCCATCTGTGTGCCAGTTTGTGCCTCTGTTTCCTCATCTTTAAGTGAGGATAAACATGATACCTCTGTCGTAGGGTTGATGAGAGAATTAAGCGAATATGTGAATTACCGAAAGAGCGCCTGCGTAGGTGCCCCGAGGAGTCCCTGACACGGAGGGTGCACCGTGTCGCCCATCCTCATGGGCCTCCGCGGTTGGCAGTGATGATAAGGAACGTTACAGCAGACTCCGTTTCCCACAGCAGTGAAGGTAATTTACCGATAGGATGAGCGTTACCCAAGGGTGTGTTGCCTGGCGTGATGGCACACACCAGTAACCCCAGCCACTTGGGAGGCTGAGGCAGGAAGTCATGAGTTTAAGTCCAGCGTGGACTTAAGTCAGCAAGACCCTGTCCCAAAATAAAGTTTTTGAAAGGGATGAGCATATAGTTCAGTGGTAGAATGCTTGTCCAGCACGCATGAAGCCCTGAGTTCACACTCCAGAACCAAAAGTAAAATTAAAACAAAAAGATCAAGCACCTGCTGTGTACTCGCTTTGAGCAATGGAGATCTGCAGATGCCCTGCATTGCTTCCTTCCTCGCCGAGGTGAGGAGACACAACTGACGGTGGTGAAAGAGAAGCAGAGTACTAAAGTAAGCGCAGACTGATTCCCGGCTCAGTAGCAGCTCCGGGAGAGGAGGTCTCATGGGTCCGCTTGACACCTCCCTGAGAAAGTGGAACTGGGCATGTCGGTGGGTTTTGAGACTTCGCTGCTGGGGGAGAGGGTGATGGGTGGTTCTGAACCGAAGAACCTGCCCACGCCCAGGGTCTCGTGCTTCTTTCATCTCCACTGTCTCCCAGCTTCTTAACTGGGAGCAACAAAAGGGGAGAAGTCAGACAGGGAAGTCACACATGCCGAGAGCCTACAGGGCTGTAGATGAACGAAGGATTAGGGATCAAAGACAAGCAGTCTGTGGCTAAAGTGAGAGGTTCCAGAAGCTCAGGAGGGAGGGAAGAAGAGAGTGTTTGCCTTCCTACGGACATAGCACTTGGTGAGGAGCAGGGCACCCTCCCCAGGAGCAGCCCAGGCGCTGGCACCAGCGGAGACCGCAGACTTCCCCCATGTAGGAGTGCACGCATTAAATATGTCAGAGTATTATTTATGTTCATATCCTTGAGCAGATATAAAGTCTCCTGCAAGCCTTATTAATGGCTGACTGAAAAAGCCTGTATAGATCAGTAAAAGTGAGTTTATTATTTGATAACATTTCAGTGCAGTTTGTTTCCTTTGAAATCTAGGGAATCTTATTTTACACATTAGAAAGTATTCCTCTGAGGGTCTGTAGCCGCAGGAGTCCAGGGTACAGGGCGAATGCTTGTTCATGGAAGTAGGAATACATGTGTGATTTTGGTAAGCACATGCATAGTTGCCTGACAATCAAGTGAAATCCTTTTTCACACGTGTCTCTTTATTCCCTAATATGGGCAACTAATATTTTGCAGCCAACAGCCAGAACTGACTAACAAATATCTTGAAATTCCCAGGGCAGCAGTTTATAAAAACTTCTGCCTACCTAAATATAGCAGATAGCATTAACCATCTGAGGTGATACTTTGCAAGATATCTTCTAAATGCAGATCTCCCTGCCAAAGAAAAGATATATTTCCTTTTAAAATGGTAGCCTTGTGCTTTACCTTGCAGGGTGGGGTGGGGGACCAGGCAGGCTATAGTTATCATTTCCGTTTCTCCAGCCACCCCAAAACTCTGCCTTATGCACCTCCCCTCACACCCTCACACCCCAGCCTTCCCAGATGGGGAACTGGATAGGGTGTAACAGGTGCACCCTGGACCCTGGGCCTCTGCTCCCCGTAGTCCTTGGCCAGGAAGGTCTAAAAGGGAAAGGTTGGAAGGGACCCTGTTGGCTGTGATTTCACCTGGAGCACCTGGGCTTCTCAGGCCAGCACCTCCTCCCACAGGGTGGCCGACTAGGACACTGCATCTGAGGCTCTGAAAGCAGGGGCTGGGTGGCGTCCCCGGGCCCATCCTGACAGGCAGGAAACTCACATGCACCCTGTTCCAGAGGTTGGGGTGGCTGTAAGGCCACCAAGACTCACGGGGGAGAGCGAGCCCCCCCCCTTGCAGAAACGCACAGGCGCCTGCAGCAGCTGCACAGTGTTAGGTTCAAAGGGTGCAGTCCCAGGTGGGGGCCACCACTCCCATGGACGATTGCTACTGAAGCAGAGTGTTGTCTTGAAGACTCGGATTTGAGAAGGAGGTTCGTAATGATGCCACTTGTTATTCTCATCGTGAAATTTCTTATTGTATTAGGACTGGAGGAAGGCTCTGTGGGCTTTTCCAAATTTGAAAATTTGATTATTTTAAAACTTGAACTTCTTTGTGTTTATAAGGAGAAGATGGAAAGCCACAGCTTCGTGTGACTCGTGTGTTAAGGATCGGGGATGTCCGTTTTTGCCCCCACTAAGTGTTAGTGTAAGAAAGATGAACCACAAGGCTGCGTTGTACGGGGTGTGCATTTTCTCAGTAAACTTGCTTAGCCACAACAACAAAGAGCCATGCTGGGAGTGGCGCATGCCTGTCATCCCACACTCAGGAGGGTGGTGGCAGGCCCGCCAGGAGTTCGAGGCCAGCCTGCACTGTGCACAGAGACCCTTCTGTCTCCAACAAACAACCACAGCAAGGCTGAATTCCGTAAGCGGAAGTGGCTACAGTGTGGCGCTGTCTGTGGCTTTCTGTCGCGCTCACTGTAGTGTGATGAGTTGGCGCTCACAGAGGTGTTCGGAGGCGTAAAAGGCAAGTGTGCCGGAAGGCCCACTGCACAGGCTCCAGGACACGGTGATGTGCGGGTGCTCTTCACAGAGTCAACTTCTTCTGTGTTCTGTGCAGATTTCAAAAAATAATCCTGAAAAAAGTCCTAATGGGACTCTGCTACTTAGTCACTAGAATGGCCTTTTATAAAAGGGTTTCCCAAGTATATATTTTACTAAGCGCTCTGAAGTAATTTTGGTGATGGAAGTTGCACTGACTGGGACATCTCCTGTCAGCAGACCTCACCGTCACCATGACTGCAGAACCAACCTCTGAGGCAGACGATGATTAGCACAGTCTCGCCACAGCCAGGAGGGCTGAAACTCGAAACTAGACGTGAGCGGAGCCCGTGTTCCACTGCAGATGCTGCTTGCCCTGGGGGAACCCTACACCCCTTTTCTCCCTGGGCAGCTACTTGTAATTTATTTTTTCCTCTTCTTTGACCTCAGCATATGTCCGCTGTTGACGGAGGTCACTGTGTCTGCCTGGTCCCTAAGTGGCCTGGCAGCCTGCGTAGTTCTGCTTGAGCTCTGCTGAAGGGTGAGCTGCTCATCCGGCGCACGCCAGCCCTGCTGCGCCACCGTCGGGCCGGGGACAGGCAGGAAGGTCTGCGTCGGTTGCTAAGCCGAGCAGCTGGCCAGGAGTAGTAAAGCTTGCTGACGTGTGAGTGCTCTGGCCAGCCTGGCCTTGGGGAACCTGTGTCAGGACTGGGAGGAGGGGTCAGCTGAATCCCGAGAGTGCCCTGCTCCAGTGTCCGCGCTGGCGGGGACTAACGCACTGTGTGTACAGAGTCCTCGTCTTAGCGCCGGATGGAGGAGCCGGGCCTGCCGTCTTGCTGTGGCCAGTGGGCCTGGAGGGGAGCGGTGCGGAGCCGGACCCCATGCCCCGTGCCCCGTGTCCTGCATTTGGGGCTTTGACTCTTCCGAAACTTGGCAGCCTAAAAGCTGACTCTTGACGCTCGGGCTGTTTCCCAGCTTGCGTGGCCATGTGCTGAACACAGGCCCCAGAAGGGTGAGTCCGCTCGGGCCTTGGCGATCAGCGCACATGGTCCGCCCAATGCCCAATGCAGCTTCCTGGGCCAGCGGGTCCTTCCAGGCTGGGTGTGTGGCTTCCATGCGGCTGCTCACCCGCAGCCATGAAGAGAAGCCTAAAAGCACGGGTGCTGCAGAGCCCAGCCACAGATCCTGGGATAGCACAACACAGCACTGGTGGGGTGTTATAAAGTTTTTAACTATTTTGGCTTTACTCCCCACCAAAAAAAAAAAAATCTGTTTTCTAAAACTGCTTTCAGCTCCTGGTTTTGTGTTCAGCCCATAGCCAAGCTGTCAGCTGCCCAGCCGGAACCTGGATCCCCTCCTCTCGGAAGCTCGCTTGGACCAGCAGGGCTGCGGGGGACTCGACGGTGGCAGGTTCAGATTTGGCAGCACCCTGGGGACATTAATCAATCAGAAGACATAAACCAGCCAATCATTTCTCCAACAAGATGGCTCGGCTGAGAAGAATACTGCAATGGAAAATCGATGTGGACCAAACTGAAAGTGGAGGAACTGGTCGTGTTGTGGGCTCCTCTTGGGCCTCTGTAGTTCAGCCGCTGGTGCCGTGGGTGAGCCCGGCTTTGCTGATGGCGCCCACTGGCCCACCTCCCCTCTTTTCTGTCACCCCTCAGTGTTGCAGTGTGGCCTGCAGTGCTGCAGGCTCCCTGTGGACTCAAACCGGGTGAAGAATTACAGTTTTCACCGCAGTTCGTGTCATTGCCGTGTTCTAATACACAGCGTGTTTTAAATATTTCAGCAGCTAAGATGCCTCTCCGATAAAACCACACTTACCCAGCTTGGCCATTGGATTAGAAAAGCCTCCCACAAAGACTTTTCGGTATTCTGTGTATTCATTCTTTTATCCAAGCACCAAAACGTAAGAATTCAGGAAGGAGGAGGTAGCCTTGAATAGGGTAGCCCGCTGAGGGACACCGAGCTGCGTGAGTCCCTTCCGAGGTGCCCGGAGTTTGTGGTCACCATGCTGGTGCTCCTGGCCTGTCCTCTGTCACTGCGTGTGACAACAAGGAGGAAGAGGAGGGGTGCTGTGGGCCCCTCAGGCGGTGCCAGTGAAGACAGAAGCACAGGTCCTCCTGTTCAGAACGTCCAGGAGGAAGTGCGGCTCCATCGCAGGAGCAGCCTGTCCCCCTGCGCCTGCATGACCCTGGGCTGGCGCCGTCCGCACCCACAGAGGCCCTGCTCCTTCGGGCGCAGGCCCTGAGGGCCTCACCCATGTCTCGGGCCAGCAGTGGGGAAGTCGGCCGGGCACCCCCTTTCCCCTAGGGTGTGCGCCCAGCCCTGACCCCAGGGACAGGGCAGAGAGGGGCACCTGGGGGTGGGAAGCAGCTGGGAAGGCACTAGGAAAGCGCCATCCCGGGAGGCGGGACAGGGCTGCAGCCTCCCCTGCCCCACTGACCAGAGTATCAAGGCAGGATTCGCAGTGCGCTGGGCCTCCTGAGCGCAGGTCTGTGTGATGCTCACGAGGCTGCAGATGGACCCCGACTATGCGTGGAGTGAACAGAGGATGGCGGTGCTGGTGGAAGCGCTGTGTGGATCGCTCGCCTGTCCTTGGCGGTCTGGGTGTGCGTCTTGGCCCCATCTCGCAGGTTGGGAAGCTGCTGACCGAGGCACACTGACGATTGGGGTGCTGGAGACCCAAAGCAGCGCATAACGAGACCTTGCGGAGAAAGTGGGGCTCCTCTGAGTGAGGCACTGCCGGAGGCTTTGTCCCCAAGCGCATTTCTAGAAGATTCTGGATTCCAAGTTGAGCACGAGTACCTCAGGCTAATGAGCTATTGCCTCACTGAGCTGGAACATCGAAGGCAGCTCTCAGGGACATCGAGGTTCCAGCCCCAGCATCTCTAAAGCAAACAAAAAGCCGCGATCATAAACTGAGCTCTGTGTTAAGGAGCCAGAGAGAATAAATGCAAAAGAAGCAGAGGGATCTGTGGGCGCCCCAGGACTGCACTGTCAGAGAGCCTGTGCCACTACAGCCTGAGACCCTCCGCTTGGGCACTGCACAGGCTCATGACTGAGGTGGTGACACAGGCACCTGGAGCTCCACCCCGGGCAGCCGGGTTCCCGGGCACCACTGCCATCTGCCTGTAGCCCCGTGGGGAAGCCTGGCAGGGCAGCGATGTGGGGGAAGGGTGTCAGCCCAGGCACCCTTTCTGTGCTCCCCTGTTAGAGATGATGTTCTGTTTCTTGTGTAAGTGCTCATGCTGGCCCCTGCCGTCTCACCCTAACTGGCCAGGCTGCTGGAGGATGACTACCTCAAGTGAATTTAGTGCTGTAAAATCTAGCCTGATGCTACTGGAAGGACCGCCAGGTCAACTTGTCCAGCCACCTAATTCCTCAACACTTCCGCTCCACATCTCCGAGACACGTGCTCATTCTCTGCTGAGAATTAGAGAAACCTGCAGGTGTCCAGGCCAGGTGTGATGCCACCGCCTGCCACCTCTTTTATGCCCTCACACAAAGGCGTGAAATCAGAGCCAGGACCAACGTGCTAAACCTGTTCCTCGAGGAATTGGTGCAGGAGGTGCATCCTGGGAGCACTGTCACTTGCTCCTTGCTGGACAGCTTCGGGGACACTCTCCTACTGACATGCTGTCCTGGGTACAACAAAGTCTCCAGTGCAGGTTCCCTCCCATCCCCTCTGCCGCCTGCCTGATACAGAGTGGAGCGGGAGGCTTCCCGGTTTAACAAGGCGGAAGGAACTGGAGAGCGGAATCTACTTCTGAAGATTCTGCCCCTCCTCCTGTGCAGGCCCCACTTCCTCCGAGTCGGTGCACCAGGAAAAAGCAGCAGGCATGTGCATGGTGTGAGTACTTCTCTGGCCACCTCTGAGGCTGAGGGCCCAGCGCCAGCACTCTCAGGCTGGACATGTGCCCCAGAGGTCCTAGGAACTTAGTGTTCCCAGTGTTGGCCCCAAGTGACCATCCCAGCCTCCTATGCCAGGCAGTCACTGGGGAGCCTCCTGGGTACTCCCCGAGCGAAATGAGGCGTGGGCACTGGTGTTCTCTCTGCCTCCCTCTAGACACAGGGACAGCTCAGAATGTCCTGTGCCTGAGCAGGTGATGAACGGAGCTGGAACACTGAGCTTTCCATCTTGAAGGCACAGCCAGTGTGAGTAGGTTCCTCCAAGCCTTCCTGGCACCGGTGAAACCAGCTTCAAGGATAGAATTTCCACTGTAGCATTTATGCATGGTGGAGTACTACTCTGCCAGAAAGAAGGATAAGCTTGAGTCATTTGTAGGAAAGTGGATGCACCTTGGGCTCAAATGTCATATGGTGTCTCTTCTATAAGAAACCCTGAGTACAAATAAGAGCAAGATAAAAGACAGGATAGGGGAAGAAAGAAGAGCCATCTCCTCATGCCACAAGCCCTGCCTTTCCACAGTTCTGGTGTCCCCCAGGTGTAACAATTCCCAATTTGAAACTATACTACAAAGCCACTGTGATAAAAACAGCATGGTACTGGCAAAGAAATAGGCCTGAGGATCATTGGAACAGACTGGAAGACACAAAAACAAATGCAGATGTACTCAGCTACCTCATCTTTGACAAAGGAGCTGACCATCCTCAGTGGAGGAAAGAAAGCCTCTTTAATAAATGGTGTTGGAAAAACTGGATGTCAATCTGCCACAGATTAAAATTAGACCCTTATCTTTCGCCATGCACTCAGTTCAAATCCAAATCGATTAAAGATCTAAATATTAAAACAGAAACATTAAACTTGCTGGAAGGTAAGTTAGGCAGAACTCTGGAAGACATTGGTATAGGAAAAGACTTTATGAACAAATCCTCAGTAGCACGGGAACTAGCAGATAGAATCAACAACTGGGATCTCGTCTTACTAAAAAGCTTCTGTACTTCAAAAGAAACCATCAGCAGAACTAAGAGACAATCTACAATGTGGGAAAAACTTTTTACCAGCTGTTCCTCAGACAAAGGACTATTATCAAGGATATATAAAGAACTCAAAACAATCAGTCCCCCCAAATATAAAGACCCGATTCAAAAATGGGCATCTGAAATGAACAGACATTTCTCAGACAAAGAAGTAAAAGCAGCAAGAAAATATTTGAAAAAATGTTCCACATCCCTGGTCATTCGAGAGATGCAGATGAAAACAACACTGAGATTCCACCTCACCCCACAAAGAATGGCTGCTATCAAGAAATCACACAATAACAAATGTTGGCGGGGTTGTGGGGAGAAAGGAACCCTTCTCCATTGTTGGTGGGAGTGCAGACTGGTGCAACCACTATGGAAATCAGTATGGAGATACCTCAAAGAGCTTGGACTGGAGGTTCCATTTGACCCAGCCATCCCTCTGCTGGGTATCTTTCCAAGAGAACTAAAAGAATCATATCACAGAGAAGTATGTGCACCCATGTTTATAGCGGCACAGTTTATAATAGCTAAATCTTGGACACAGCCTATTTGCCCATCTGTTGGGAACTGGATAAAGAAGTTGTGGTTTTTCTATAAAATGGAATATTACTCAGACATAAAGAACGAGAAAATAGATTCATTCATAGGAAAATGGATACATATTGAAGATATACTCCTAAGTGAAATAAATAAGTCACACATGTGTAAATACCGAATAATTTCCCTGGTGTGAATAATCTGCAACAATGCATAAGATTCTAATAAGATTAAATTAGACATTTAGAAATGGGAAGAAAGGAGCTAAAGGTGTAGGGAAGGTGTGATGCGTAGGGGAAGAACAAAAAGGGAAAAGAAAAAAATGTGACAGAATGAAAAGATGAAAATAAAGTGTTTGTAGATGGGGAGGGGAGGAGGGGGTGAAGGGAGGGCAGAGGTAAGGGGAAAAAATGAGAATCAAGACTTGCCATGTAGAGGTACATGATCCCAACAATGAATGTGACTGTACTGTATCCCTAAATGTACCAATAAACACAATTCTGGTGTCCCCTAATGTGGCTCCTTCCCGCACACTTCCCTGTGGACACTTTGGTGGTGGCTGTGGAGGAGACGTGTCTGGCCTTCCTTGGGCGGAGTCTGGCCTGTCACCAAGCCTCTTTTAGGTCCTTGTTTCATCCGCACTTTCAGGGCAGGGTCTGTCTTCTGTGCTGCTACCGAGACAGGTGGGTGTGCAGAGCAGAGTCCTCGGGTTGCCTGGTGCAGTGGTGCCTGAGCGGGAGCTCCGACCCCGAAGGAGAGGGCTAAGGAGGTAGGGAGGCCTGGGGGGCGGGGTTACCAGGGAACCCGGACAGAGGGGACCAGGCTGAAACCAGATGGTTCTGCTAGAAGAGCCTGTGGACAGAGCTTGAGAGTGGGGAAACAGGGTCATCCTCTTCTGCAGTGGAAAAGCCGTCTAGGAACGTCAGATCAGAGTCAGGGAATCTACGTCTGGGCGGGTGGAAAGGCTTTTCAACAGTGACCCATGGAAAGCAGGTTCAGGGGAGCTGATGACTAGGGAAGGGGGTGGAGGAGGGAGACCAGCGAGGGGAGGAGTAAGTCTCGGCACAGGGGTGCCATGGGAAGGGGACTGCAGCTCTGTTGCGATCGCGTGTGGCCTGTGTGTCCGAGCTCACTGGGTAGGATTCGCCAGCATGTTCCAAACTGCGTGTCGCAGGCGCTCACCCTGCCTGTCCCAAGTCAACACTGGAACCTCTGATGAAACGAAACGAGGAGGCTCAGCGTAACACTGTCCCCACTTAGAAATCCGTGCTTGAAATAATGTGGAAGTCTTAAAAAAGAATAAAGCATGCCCTGCTTCACAAGGCATTTCCTGTGATGGTCTGATGATGGTGGAACCTCCTATTTTAACTGTTACTGTGTAGGATCAGAGTTCCCAAAGCCCAGTGTGGGGGCCCATGGACCATGTGACATGGTAGCAGATCAATATGCTGGATGGATTATCTTTTTCATAAACAATAAAAATCAAAAGTATAAATTATAATGAACTCTTTCTGAGTGGAAAACGGCTCTTGGATTCAACTGGAGCTCAATCTTTTGAGGGGTATTTCATATTCAAAATATCTTTTAGTAGCAAGAGACTAAAAACAGGTAGCTCAAATTTCATAGTTTTACAGTACTCTCTGGGATTGACTTTAATGGCCTTTAGGGTCTGTGTCCTCCGCTTTGAGCTTTATTTTTGGAATGCTTGTTCTTTTCTTTCTTGTTGTCATCAGCCAGTGTTCCCGGTTCCTGGTGTGCGCACTCCTGGCGGGGACGCAGGACAGTACGCATTGTCTTCGCTTCCCATCCCCTTCCCGCCCTCCCTCTCCCGACCTCCCCGTCTGAGAAACATCCATCTCCCTATCTTTTCTTTAGCTTGTTGTTCGTGATTTGGGTTTCTCCTGTCAGGGAAGCGCCTGTAAGGTAAAGGGATCCCTGTCAGAGTAATGGGGTGGGGGGAGCCAGGTCTCATTGTTACATTGTTGCATAGAGTGACTACGAACCAGAACAATTTATTGGCCCCAACTTGCTGCTTCATAGGATAAGGACCTGGAGAACTCGGTGACCTGTTCTCTAGCAAAGCCCTCCCCTCAAGGAGGAGAAGATAAAGCGACCCCTCTCACTGACCACCAAAAGGGCTTTCTCTGCACATTACCCAGACTCTTGGGTGAGCTGGCCAGACACCTCTGGTCCATGCCTATCCCTGACAGAGCCCTCCCGTCTGTGCGCCTGACATCACTGTGGAGTAAATAGGCCCGCCTCTCCATGCACTGTGCCCGGCCACCAAGCGCCAACTGGGCAGACAGGGTTGTGCCCAGGTGAGAGTCAGGATGGTGAGGGTCAAGCTGCCCACGTGTGGTGGCCCTCATCCTGGTCATACTGCCTGACTCTGGACAGAGGCTGAGGCGCCCAGGGCCGGCTGTGAGCTCTCAGCAGCTTGGAAACACACAGAAACAGAAATGCCTCACCTTCGGCAGAGAAATAATAGACACAGAGGTGTCCAAAGCCATCCACTTTGTATCTTTATTAGTATTCAAATACTAAGTTGAAGGAAAACGTTTGATTTGGCTTCATCTTTTCCTATATTACATATTTTGATGCATTGTTTACAATATCTATTTCAAAGAGGTTTTTTTCTGTGATCAGATTTATAGTTACTTTACAGTTTTGTGTGTGTGTGTGTGTGTGTGTGTGTGTGTGTGTTGTTGTTGTTGTTTTGTACCGGGATTCAAACTTGGGGCCTTGTGCTTTTGGGGCAGGCAGCAGAACCACCAAGCTAAATCCCTGGCCCTGTTACGTTTTAGTTCATTTCTGAAGTTATTCTTAGTAATAAAAAAGAATCTACAATATGTTAAAAGAAAGGGTGGTTACCTATACTCTTCCTTTTAGGAAGGAAAGAAATTGGGGATATGGAGGGCACTTTTAGTTTTTGCTTTATACGTATATCTATATTGTATTATTTTCTATTTGTTATAAGCATATATTATTACAATTTTTCAAAGTTCACAGAATTGTTTTTAAAAAATAGTAGCATGTCATTTCCCCAGTGGATATTCAGACATTTGTTAAAGATTGAGCATTTTCAAACATAGAGATACTGTTCAAAAGCTTGAGTGTACCCATCTTCTAATTGGGATAATCATGAACATTTTCGGTAAAATTAGTAAAGTTCACAAGATAAGTGCCCTGGCCTCGCCCGGGTGACAGCAGCAGGCTGCATCCCAGCTTGCCTGCTCACTCAGCACCCAGCGAAGAGCAGCAGGTGCTGTGCGCGGCCGCGCTGCCCCAGAGCGGTCGTAACCAGCGGTTGCTGGGTAATGGGCAGCACAGCAAACCCAGCTCCCTTCACTGCGCGTTTATTTATCTAGATTAATGATGTGGACCATCATAAACAAACAGGGTGCTGTTATACAAACAGGCTGGCTAATGCATTTCAGGAAATTTTAAGATTTTCCTTAGCATTTGTGTGTACTTTTAGTGCTTTTAACCTTGAACGAGATACAGATTGTTTGGAAACCAAAATTAAAGTTGGCTTGAAAGGGCACAGTGTGATCTCCTTACTCGTGCTAAGTCACAGCGTGGATCTTAGGAGGTCAGTTGGGCTTTTCTATTTGAATTGTTTCCTAGCAGATAGAAATAAGTTGTGGAATAATTCTATATTCTATCTCTAATAGTCATGTCAGTTAGGGGTGAAAAATCTCATATTGTTCTTCATGCTCTTTATTCTTCATGTTTCAAATTTCAAAGCAAAATCAAAAGCGAGAGAAAGTTTTTAACCAGTAAGACAGAGCATTACTATAATCCCAACTTATGTTAGAGTGTGCTTGCTCATTTATAAGGCCCGAGAAGGTCAGTGCAGTGTATTTCAAATACGTCACAAGGTGAGAAGGCGCCATTTGAGGGGATGGCTGCCCTGCACCAGACTCCCTGAGGCCTCTGCACAGATTGCTTCCGCAATCAGTATCTATGTACTGAGTTAGCAATAAAAATATATATGGGTTGG